AGATGATTTGACGTATTGAGAATAAAGTGTATAATGTACACAAAAATAAGCATTCGTGGTATGTATAAAAACCAACTTTATCAAATAGCTATTCTTATTATCATTTTTACCGGATCTTGATTTCTGGATTCAAGTTTCTCACTTATACAGAATTGCCCGTATCTCAAGATATTTTCATCCCACCATCAAAATGTTCAGGTAATGGGAGCCGAAAGTGCAAAGAATTTGCATCTGCGAGATGAAGTCGACTTCAAGAAAATCCATATTTATTACATGGAGGGCATCCACAGCGCCAAAATGGAAACATTGAGTTCAGAAATGAGAGAGGCTTTACTTGAGGTGATCTTCTCTTCTTTTCTTTTTTTCCTTCAATTTTTTTCTATTCTTTCTTTTATTTGCGATCTTCAGATTCGTTTTTTACTATATTACAAATTTTCACGAAATTGAGATGAACAAAGGATAATTCAAACAAAAACTGGAAGAAAGAAGAAATTAACTTATTCCAGGTCGTGTCGTATTTCGAAAAGAAGTTTGACTTGGAAGCGATTCGAATTGATTTACCGATTGCTACAATGGCCATTGAAATGATAGCCACCAGTATAAAAGTTGAGGGTCCAACACTGGCCCAAGCGCTCTTGAGCCTTCATGTTAGTCCATAACCCAGAGCCGCCATAGACTTGATTTTTAAGATTTCAGGGAGACAAGGGAAGTTTGAACTGGATGACGGAGTTGCCTAAGTTGCTTATTGGGAATTCCGTTCATACTCCAGGAGCTATCTTGATGACAGCTTTCGAAAGTATGGACAACAAGACTGAGCAGGAAAGAACGGAGGTAAGAATACATCATCTTTCACAGAGCACAATTTGTGCCCTGTTGGTCGAGGCAGCGTCTAAGTCGCCTATGGTGCGCCGTGTTAGCGTCATCGATTGATTATCACGGCGCTCCCAAGTTGGCGCTGGCACGGTGTTGGCACATAAGCAAGTCTAGATAGCCTAGGAAAATAAAGTAAGCATAATAGTTAGTTGTTATTATTTCATTTATTTGCACATCTGAACTGGTCTCTGCGCATCAAATTG